GCAATAGCACCACTCATTGAAACGAAAGCATATGCTTTCGTTTTCAGAGCGCGCTTCTTTAGAGCAAACAATTTTTCATTTGATTTAAATTTACACGCATTTTCTTCAAATTCATCTATTAGATGCTTCAAATGAATAATGTCAAAGAAGCAAAAAAATAATTCTGTTGCTATATATAGATGAACTATAGAAACAATTTGCACAATATCATTAATTCTACAGTACCGTACTTTTAATTTAAACAGTTTCATTTTTTCATTTTAAGCAATATACTTTTCGATTAATAAATGTGTCATTGAATCAATGACGGGGAATTCAATAGCATGGAGATATTTGATTCAACAGCACTTTTTTTTCAGTGTAATAATTTCTAAAAATTACAATTATAACCCTTTCTGAATTCAATTATTTTATACAATTTTAAACTAAACTTCATTTCTCAATTAATTGCTTTAAATAATTTTCCAAAAGTTCTTCTAGAATTCACTTATTTAAATACAAAAAATTAATTTTTTTATAATAATTGTAACTCTCTATAATTTTTTAAGTTATTAAAAAATTAAGAAAATAATTGAATCTTAAAAAATTATTATAAACAATTGTAATTAAATAATTAGTTTTTTAAAATATTTTTATGTAATTTTTCGAAAATAATTGAATTTCTTAAAAGGATTTTTGTATAATTTAAAATATTAATTAATTTTTTTATGAATTTTAATTAAAAATTTTGAACTTGATTTTTTTCTCAAGAGTGTTAAAAATAATTCTGAAATGTTATTATTTTTTGTATGTAATTGAATTTTCGGAAATGTAATTGAAAATTTTTCAAAAGTTGCAATGAAAATTCTTCAAAAGTTGATTTTTAAAAATTCTAACAAAATACTTGAAAGAATTGAAAAATAAATTTAAAGCTATGAAAAAATGTGAGACTAACTCTGCTGGGGCTCGAAACCCAGGACCTATCAATTGCCGGTTGATTGCTCTTCCACTGAGCTACAGAGGTCCACCTCCAACAAATTTTCATAGCCTTATCGACTCAATAGTCAAGATGGTTCGCATTCTTCTGCATATTAATTTTGAATTTTCCCAGAATTTTTCACGAAACAATTATCAACTCATTAATAAGTTCCTTCACTAAACGTGAAGCTGAAACCTACCATATCGACCAAGTTTCAAATTCTAGAAGTACCGGTATCTAAACCTAGACGTCACCGCCAAATCAATAAATAATTGAAAAATAAATTTAAAGCTATAAAAAAATGTGAGACTAACTCTGCTGGGGCTCGAAACCCAGGACCTATCAATTGCCGGTTGATTGCTCTTCCACTGAGCTACAGAGCTATTGAGCTACTGAGCTATTTACTTGAAAGAAATTAATTATTTTCAATAAAATTGTACACAATTCCAATTATTCAAAAAGATTTTTATTATAAATATGTATATATGAAAAATTTAATTATTTTAAAAAATGATTCAAAAAAAATTTTTGAAAGATTTGTTTATAGTTATTTTTTGCATTATAAAAATCGAAAGAAGTTGCACTTTTTTACTGAAAATTGTGGTATTTTGTTGCAATGTTTGGAAGAAAAGTCAAAATTGTCGCAATTTTTGAAAATAAGTTGAAAAAAGTCTCAATTTTCTTACTTTCCATGACAAAAAAAAATTTTTCTGACATTTCCCTGACTTTACTGACATGTGGACAGCCTGTAAATCTAAAATCTTTAAAATAATTGTTTCATTTTTTCGGTTTTGTGAAAAAAAAAAATTTTCTATGCTCAACATCGACGCTAACTTTGCAGGGACTTTAGTAATTTAATTAGTAAAATTTTAATTTAATTTTAATTTGACTAATAAATAGTCATTTTTACTAATTTATTAGTAAAATGTACTAATTCAAAAGCAAAAAGTTAGTCACTGATTTAAATTAGTAAATATTTTTACTAATTCGTATATTTAGTTTATTTTTGTTCGATTTTGATTTTTCCTGTATTTCAGATAGAATTTTGCGACTTTTTGACAATTATTTGTGAATATTTTCAATTGTAAACTTTTATTTGAAACATCAACATAACGTAAATTTCAATTATTGTCAGAAATGGAAAAAGTCAAAAGTTTTTTGATTTGATTTTTTGTATGAAAATTGGAAATGATTCCAAAAGTTAGAAAGTGAATTAAGAAAAATTCCTAAATGTTTTCAATATTATCAAAGATTGGTGGACATCGCAAAAACCTGAATTTTTTTCTCAATTTTGGAAATTTAATATTTTTTCCAGTACTGTTGATAAAATTTCCAAATTTACCCTTATTTATTCAATTAAAAGAGTTTATATCGCTTAGCATAAAAATAGGTACTGATAAATGTTGATAATTAAAATTATTGACGACACAATATTTATTTGCCAATTTTAATTCCTCTTTTTTTAAGGAGAATTTTTTCCTATAAATATTTAATCAAACATATGTCAAAATAAAGATAAGCCTTAATTAAAATGTTATACGCTCAAATTCATAAAATAATTTATATATTTCACTTAAAAAAAGTGTATAAATATGTACTGTAAACAGTCTTTCGGGAATTAATTCGTTTGAAATTTTGTGTATCATAATTTGTATAGTTTTGAAGCTAGAAATTTTAAATAGTAGGCTAAAGTGCCGGATTTAAACTGGAAATTAATTGTTATCTATCACATTGAAGTATTGCAAATTTTGGTGTAAATGCAAAATTTTATCAGCATAAAAACCACAAAAAACTTTGCATGAACGATGTGTACAAATGTCAAAACATTGTCATAACCTCTTTTTAGTTCTATTCCTCGCGTTCGCGTTCCTTGCATTTTACGAGCGATCACGAGTGCTTCCGATTATAAGGTAGTCCAAGTTGGGTGGGGGAAATTCAATATGGCTGACATCAGATGTCAGCCATATTGCATTTCCCCCACCCAACTTGGACTACCTTATACTTCAGCTTAGCCATTACGTTTTACATATGTGTGCAAGCTCACCGATTTAGGCAATATATATAGCCAACCACCTAAGCTTGGGACTTTTGGCCGCGAGGGGGCAGACTTTTAAAGGAAAGAGCGATTTGCATTACGTGCGTACTCTCAGTTTCTCTCTAACACTAAAAAAAGCCTTCTTTTTGCCTGTTTTGAACTGGAATGTCCCCTTAAGGAGGAATGGTATACCTAATCGGGCCAAAAGTTTGTGACATTTAGGGGAATTTGTAATTTTTTTATTTAAGCTACATATAGCAGTTTTTCTTATTGAAATCATAAAAGTACGACATCAATGAATATTAAAAAGTATATATTAAATGAGGAAAATATAATAAATTTATTAAATTACATTTTTTATAAAAGCAGAAAATAATTTTTGTTACTGTCTGTACGAATATAAAACCTAAGAAAATAGAAGTTACTGAAATTCTCTAAAAATTATTTTCGGATTTATCGAGTATTCCATTGCAAACTTTGAAAAAATGCTATTATTACGTATATATGTGTCTTATTATGCTGTAATATTAATGTTATTAATTATAAACATTGTCAAATAACAATTTGTAATGAGCGTTTAATCGTGACAACCTCGCAATGCAAGTAGTTTGTTTTTTGATCGTTGGTAACAGTGTCAAGTGTTATGATTTGCATTTATGTGGTTAAAAATAATGAAAATTTGTCATTTTTGGTACCTTTGGCGCCATCTCTTGGTTCTATGTACCACTAAACAGCTGTCACATGTGAGTTTTTATATGCAGTGTTGCCACGTTTTCTCTGTTTGTCTATCATAAAATTAGTTTTCTTCCAGAAACTAATTAATTACTTTTAAACTCGTTAGTGAATAAAAAAGAACCTTCGTGATTAATAAACCTTAAATCTTGACCTTCAAGATGAAATTTTTACAAAAAATTCTGAATGTTTTAAGTATTAAATTTTTAATGATAAACATGCAAATTCGTGCTCTCTCCAAAAGAGGCAATGTTAAATTAAATAATTATTTTTAACTTGTAAACTATTTAGTGAAAAATTCTGAAACTTGGTGAGTAATTTTATTATATAAAAGCAAATCATTTCCCAAAATATCAAAAGATTCTGAATGTTTTGAATTTTTATACCATACCTCCTTAATCTTAACCTATAGTAAAGTTAATTAGGATTCCCAGTAAATTTTCCCTGATCAATTCCATAAATTCAAACTTTGTAAAAGTAACTTTGCATTCCCTGCGGTCAAATCAACTAGGATAATTAGTTATTTTGAAAATTTTCTGAACTGCGCATGCGTCTATTTATTTTTTGACAGTATTCAGCTCTGTCTTTTGTGATTCATGATTATTATTTCGTAAAACGATTTTTATATTCGTTAATCGTAGTTATTTTTTGTGCAAAAAATATATTTTCTGCGTATTTCACATTTGCCGTTTTTATCGAGTAAATCGAAACAGATAATTAAAATTAAGCTATTATACATTTGATAATTTAATTCGTTTAAACTTTATAGCTAACCTGAAAAGCCTGAAATTTCACACAAGTGGAATCAAATTTTTTTTAGTATTTTAATAACTGTATTTTATAATTAATTTATTTTTAATTAACTATATTTTATATTTTATTTTATATATTAATAACTAGTATTTTAATAAATGTCAGAAATAAATAAAAATAAATAGTTCTTGACGAGCAAGTAAAATTGTGTATTTTCAAATAAATAAAATATCTGATTAAATATTACATTTTGACTGGAAATTCTATAGAATTTTTATATTATAATTATAATATCTGATAAAAAATTTTATTCAAAACAAGTATGTAATCCCCGCTTTCTCGGCGCGTTTTTGAGACGCAAAGTATGCCTTTACTTCAAGCAGCAGTTTTACGGTCCTAGGACGAGAAAGTAGTCTTTACTTTCTCGTCCTAGGACCGTAAAACTACTACTTGAAGCAAAGCCATGCTTTACCTTTCAAAACGCACCGAGTAAGCGCGGATTACATTCTCGTTTTGTATAAAATGTCGTGTGTACCTCGGACGCACGCATTTCTCGTCCTCGCTTGTTTACAGTACTCGGCTTCGCCTCGTACTGCAAAATCAGGCTCGGACAAGAAACTTGCGCTTTGCGTCCTCGTTGCACAATGTACTGCAGTACAACACGTGCGTGTGTAGTGTAGTGGTTCAATGTGCGTATGCGTTAGTGTTAGGTGTTCGCGTCCCCCCCGTGTTAAATATTTATTTCATAAGTTTGTGTTAATTCTAAGACGTATACATATAAGGTGAATTATGAATGTGTTCTAAACAATATTATTTTTTTTTTTTATTTAATCTTTACTTTTTGTTTGTTATCGGCATTTTCAGTTATGTATTTCCTGCAACAGACCCAAGCGGCGCGAAATTAATTGAGCGCATTTTAATTCAGCTGTGGTAACTGAAAATTTTGTTACAGTTTCGTAATTTTCAGTTAATCTTTCTACTTTTTAAAACTATTCTCAAATTTTCAGTTACATTTAATTAAATTTCTTTAACTAGTTACTGACTTTAGTTTGACTGAAGTTAGAATTCCGTTAATCATTAAGGATTTTTACTAAAAATTTTGAATTTTAAGTAACATTTAGAAATCATAAGAAACGTTTAGTAAATTTCAAGCAAATGTAACTTATAAATGGTTTCAGTACCATCATTTGGGAAATTTTGTTACATTTTGTTACATTCATTTATTCATTTGATAAAATTTATTCATCATTTTAAATTAAATTTTACTATTTAAAAAGTAAAATTTTACAGATCTCCGACAGTTGATATAATCAGATTCCACGCCATCTATAGTGATGATCTTGGCATTCTCAAGTGGAGAAATTAAACCAGCATTTCAACCCTCAAGAAACTTTTTTTTAATTAAAAAATATTATTGTGAGCTTAATTTAATTTCTTTTACTAAAAACTTTGAATAAATTTTTAATTTCTTATTAAAATTAAAAAATACTACCTATACTTTAGTAAAAATTCTTTTCCTATATAGTTTGAGAAGAAGACACTGTCAAGAGAAGAGTTTTAATAAATAGTATCGAAAAATTTTATATTTGTTTAAATCTAATTAACAAATAATATAACTTAACAAATATATATACCCAATGGGAAATGCCAGTGTAGTGCCGATGTTCACCACTGGCTTAGTACTCAGACGATTGTTCGGCGTAGTCTAGCCGAGCCTCGACAATTAGTGCTGGCGCAGTACAGAATTTTCGTTTCGCCAAAGCTTGGACAAGCCACGGCGGCAAGTGCTGGCTGAGTACACGGAAAAAATAAATTTAGCAGATTTTACAAAACTGTTACGGAGTAGCGGATACAGCTTTTTACGAAACTGAGTTTTATAAAATGTAAGGAATATTTCAGGATAAAGACATAAAGTACAGAATTTTCGTAGTTTATACTGAATATTTTTTAAGTTTATCCTGAAATATTCCTTACATTTTACAAAACTCAGTTTCGTAAAAAGCTGTATCCGCTACTCCGTAACAGTTTCGTAAAATCTGCTAAATTTATTTTTTCCGTGTATGGAAAAATTGTTCACAACGCTCTTTGCCAACATTGCTTTTTTGACATAAACTTGAAAAAAATTATAAAAAAAGTTTATGAATGTTTATAAATATAAATTTATTGAAAAAAATTAATATTTTACTTTTCAGTTGTTCATTTTTTATTTTTATTAAATTTAATAATAACAATTTAACATAATTGTCTAATTTTTTAAATAATAAATTATTTAAACAAATTAAAATTATAAACAAAATTTAAACTTTAATCTCAATAATAATTTGGTTCCTATTAAAATACTAGGTATTATACTTCTTACTATGAATAAAAAATTATTAAAAAATTACTACGTAATTTAAGAATTACGTAAAATGTTAAATGCAATAAGTAAAGTAATTTAATTTAATTATTAAAAATTTAGTTTAATTTATTTTATTTCAATTTATTATTTCTAACGCATCCCTATTTTTTTCTCATCTTTGAATCAATAATTGTAAGCCTGAATGATACTGAAATATTAATACTTTACTGTACACATGTGTCGTTAGCATAGTGGTTAGAGCGTTAGTCTGTTAGTCCGTAGGTTCGATTCCCCTCGTCAGCAATTTTGTTTATTTTCATAGGTTTGCGATATTTCTAGATTGCAATCGTTAGGTACTAAAATATGAAAATCTAATGCACACTTACTGTAATTGTTTATTATTTGATTTTTAAATGTTATAAACAATTTTTTTCTACTTCATTTACTATATATCCATTGTTAGTCTCCATCTTTAATACAATTTCTTTAAGAAGAGAAATATTTTATGAATAATAACTATTTATAAATATTATTTACCATTTTGTTGTTAAATTATTTATAATTATTAATTTACGACTAATTAATAACAATACGGCATTTATTGCGGCAAAATTCTCAGCCAGCACTGGTCCAGTGCTGCGCCAGCGCTGTCTGGCAGCACTGGCAGGCAGTACTTCGCCAGCGTTAGACAGTGTTATCATCCCAGAGTTATGCCAATGCTGTCTGTCACCGTAGCTGCCAGTGCTGGCGCAGTAAATCCGCCAGTTGTAAATTTCCCATTGGGAAGCTATACTAAATATAGATCTACTATTACAAGTCCAAAATTTCGAAAATTTGGACAATTAAACAAAAATAAAAAAATACGTATTTGTTTTTTTTCGATACAGAATAAAAAAAAATTTTTTTTGCTGATTTTAAGAGTTCAACTAAAATCTCACGTGGAATTGCCCATATTCGTCTGGAAAAATAGTAATTCACTTACAATTTATAATCCATATTTCTCTATTTTTTCTATATTTTAACAATTTTTGAACAGTAAAATTATTTCCGTAAAGTTTAAAAATTTCTAAACACTTCGAAAATTGGGGTTTATTTAGAAGACTTTCAGACTAGTTTCCGCGATGCTTTTTTGTATCTAAAACAGTCAAGGAATGGGACGGAAATGGCAGAAGAGTGTTTTGCCGGCAAATAAATCACTTGAGAAATAGAGAGCGAGAGAGAAGAAGAAAGTCAGTAAACGCCGGCGCCTGTAAAGTCCAACGCACAATAGGTTCGCGAAAGTCGTTCGCGAACGAGACGCATGAGATAGACAAGGACACAAATATATCTCTGTCCTTTTCTAACTCATGCTTTGCGTTCGCGAACGATTTTCGCGAATCTATTGTGCTTAGGCCTTAAGTCGGAAAAGATGAGATCGAAGAGATTTCGGCAAAGATCTCTCTCTTGCATTTCTTAGCTCTATCCTATGCACTTGTATTTGAAAAACCGGTTCGATTTCACCTGTAAGCTTCTTTCCACTTGAAGTGTAATTTAAAATCATTTTAATTGCATTTTACATTTTATTTTATTCTCTCCCCCTTCCTTATTTACACGATTATTTAAGAAATAATTATCAAATTAAAAAGCAAACTCATAAATTTTTATTTTTATAATGAGAATTTCTTTTTCTTTGTTTCAGGTAAGTTGAAAGATTCTCTCGTGATTAGAGGGAAAAAATTAGACGAGCATATAAAAAATGGTAAAAACTGCAAGTTTATAAAAATTGACACTTTGTTTGACGAAAAAAGTTTTCTTATTTAAAGAAAATAAGTAAAATTTGGATGAAAATCAGGAAAAGGGGGGAAACTCGGGAAGTGTATTTCAAGTTGACATTGATGGAAACGCCTGTTATGTATCATTTCCGCTTGACAGTGAGTTGTGACGCACGCACAACTCCAACGGACATAAAGACATTAAAAGGGGTTCCACTATGGCCATACGGTGGCCAATTCGAATTTACGTCCCGAATTACGGTCAACTTCTGCAGACACCTGTTCGTTTTGCTGCCTCTCAGTCTGAGAAATGCCTATGACGAAACGAGAGAGAACAAACAAGAAAAATAAAATGAGTAGAATCGAAGACCCCTCCTGGGCAATCGCGCACTCGCCCAGTTTCTCCGCAAGAGATTCGTGAGAACCTTACTGGACAGGTTTCGACGGGAATCTTTACATTTTTTTCCTCCTTTCTTTTGCTAAGTTTAATTCGGTAGTAATTAACGAATAACGATAATTTCGCAAAGGGGCGGAACGCGTGTATATTCTTCACAACTGCCGAAAGAAATCCTATGAAAAAGCAGAATGTAATTCGTTCTATAATTGTGGTTAGGAATTCAATAATTATATACTTATTAAATTCTGGCATAAATTGATCATTCTTTCGAATTCGTGATTTTTAAATATCAATCGTCACTGGAGAAGAATTTTTTACTATCATGTAATGCGTATTCGAATTCTCTTCAGAACAGAATAAAAACATTTTCAATTTTCAATTAACATATTAATCAAATTGATGAATTAGATTCATTAATCATATTAAAGATGATGGTTCGCAATTAAGAATTCATTTTTTTAAATAATAAATTTTAAAATATTTTAACCCTATACCCTGTTCCACGAGAGAATGCTGTCGTAAAAAGACGAGTTTTCGTCCACTTCGCGCAGATATTAGAGAAATTGTCACTATTCGCTAAATTTTGAAATTTAGACGGCCCATTTTCCAAAAAAAAATTGTGGCCAAGCCTTTTTCCATAATTTAAATCCACCGACTCAAGTTTAACTCTCTGCCGACACATGTCTCGACGACCCACGTTTATGACAGTGGTAATAAATGAAAAAAATAGAGGCAATAAAATATTAAAAATGTTTAAATATTACAATTAATAAATTTTTAATAATATATTTGTAATCTATTAATTCTGCCGATTCAAATGATATATAATTTTTTTTTCAACTATGAAATTGAATATTTTCTATTGTCGATCTGCAAAGTAATAAATCTTAACAATTTTTATTGAGAGCTAATTTCACTGTCGAAATCACATAGTTCAATCTAATATATTTTAAATGATTAATAAATTTTAAAAAAATATTTTGAAAAAAATTTGGAGTTCTCATTTGTAATATAATTTAAAATAAAAAATTTTTAATTTTATGTTTAGAAACAAAAATTAAATATCAATGGAATCAGCAAAACTGATAGATTCCAAATTTGTTAATGGAAATTCATTAATTGTAATATTTAAATATTTTGAATATTTTATAGCCTCTATTTTTTTCTTTTATGAGTACCGTCATAAACATGGGTTGCTAGAACACGTGTCGGGAAAGAATTGATCTTCAGAGGTTTGAAATGTAGGTGTTCAGTTAGCAGGCATGATTTTCATTGGTTACAAAATTTTCGGAAAACACCATTTTTAAATTTTTCTCCACCCTTTAAGAAAAAAAAACTGCGCGTCAGAAAGCATTCTCTCGTGGAACGCAGTATAGAAGGTTTTTAACCCCATGCAATATTCAAGGTACGCCCCTGGCTGAACCAATAATTTTTTCACGTTTGAACCCTATTGATATTTCAGCCAAAATTCAAAATAGACAATCAATTAAATATGTAGTTTTCTGAAACAAAATAAATTCTTTTCTCAACTTTTTAAAATTGAGGCCTTGGATCCAATAACTCGCCCGACGCTCGGAGACACGCGCTAATGCCAGTCGGGTAGCAGTGAGTGGCCCAGAGGCGCTCACTGCTCACTGACTGGCAGTTGCGCGTTCCTCCGAGCGTCGGGCGAGTTATTGGATCCAAGGCCTCAATTAATGAAAGTTTAAATTTTAAAATTTTTTATTTTTGGATAAAGAGATTCTGTAAACAATTCTGATAAGTGTCACGAGAAAAACAAAGAAAGAAATTTTTACCCGAGGGGGTAAAATTGACTACCGTTATTACATTATTATTACAATAATTATCAAATATTTCTGCTTTTATCACGACTTATTACAGATGTATTACTAGGTATTTCAGGGTATTAGGGGCCGTACACATAATACGTCACGCGTCTAGGGGGAGGGAGGGGGTTTGAGAATTGTGACTAAGTGTGACATGGGGGAGGGGGGGGTGAACTCATGTGTTACGTCACAATCTTTTAAATTCAAAGATTTATAAGAACTTATATGTGACAATGTCACTTTTTCTAAATAAAACAAGTTAAAAATGCTTTAAACTATTTAATATCTGTTATGTACCTGTTTAACATCTATTGGCATAATATTTATAATATGATGATAAATAATATATTCTCTTAATTTGAATCAGTTAAAAATCATGGTTTTAGCTGACAATCAGTAGTGACTGACTTTTTGCTTCTGAATCAGTTAAAAATAACTGAAAAATTATCCACAAAACACCGAAATTTTTCTAAATATTGTATATTAATGATTTGCTTGCATAATTCGAAAAATTTACTTGCAAAGTTTATTTTAAAATTGTGTAAAGATTTAAATTTCTCACTCCAATAAATGTCTATCGTCAAATTTTCTTAATAATATAGCTTGAAACTTTCCTGAACATTTGAATTGCATTTTCGACTATACTTTCGTGAAAATTTTCCTGAAAATTTAACTTAAGTTTTCAGGAAAGTTTCGCGCTAAACATTTTTTGAAGTGGGATATTTAAATCTTTACACAATTTTCACTAAACTTTGCATTTAGATATTTCAAAGCTTGCGAGTAAATCTTTAGTAAATTTTTAGGAAAGTTTCGGTGCTATGTAGGTAGTTGAACATGACTAATTGAATCAATCAAAAACAATTGTATTGAAACATCAGTTATTTTCAACTAATTGTCAAAAAAAAATATTACTATTTGAATTAGTGACTGACATTTGCTTCTAAATCAGGTATTTTTAACTGCGATTCAATAATTTAGAGTGTAAGATATAATATATATTGTCCAATGTATAAAATTTACAGTGAAATTTACGTGTGTGACGTGACGTAGGGGGGAGGGGGGGTTCAAGATTTGTGACGAAGTGTGACATAGGGGGAGGGAGGGGTTAAAAAGGGTCAAAAATCGCGTGACGTATTATGTGTACGGCCCCTTACGACTACGTACCTAATAAGGCATTATTACTCGATATTACGTGGTATTACACAATTATTAAAAGAAATTGCACATTTCTGCTTTAATTTTTACTATAGGTCTGAGGTGAAATCACTATTTCCGAATATGTCAATTTTAATAAGATATTAGTAAAAATTCCAGGCAGTTTATATTTGACTTTATAAATAAATAGCAAAACTTAACTTTGAATTTCTTTCTTTTCTGTGCATAAATTTGGAATAACCGCGATGGACGAATTTTTTAGAAATCAATATTAAATTTACCACAAATTTATTTCTTGGAGGTTTTTGGGTTCACAGAATACAAATCGAATGTCATTTCAAAAATTCAAAATGTCGAATCAAATATGTTGTAACTTGGAAAAAATAAATTCTATTCTAAAATATTTTAAATTCCGTTAAATTTCCAAGAACATCGGAGGGAGATTTTTGAGTACATTCAGTACATTTTATAATATTCGAAAATCAAATTTAATTTTAAATTCGTTTTGGTAGAAATTTTTTGAAATTAAAGAATTTTTTGATTTTTTTATGAACAAAAAGTTTTGAACGTTCAAATGAACGAAATATTTTTTGTTAAAAATATTTACATAGATTATTGATTACAATTCAAATTAAAAACTCAAATTTTACATTTAGAAACATTATAATTAATTTGCTTAATAGTGACGCAAAATTATAGTAATAAAAATTTAATTTAAAGAAGAAATAAATAAATTTCGTTCATTTGAACGTTCAAAACTTTAACCTCCTATTTTTTTTGGATCTTCAATTTCAGACATCATATACATGTGTGTATTATTAGTGTAGCGATTGTCCCAAGAGAAACCCATTTAAACATTAATATACGACATGCTTTCTCGTGCGTTTTAATTAAATTAGAAATGGAGATTAAATTTTGGCGTTATTATTTTTTTCCTTGACACTTCCGTGTAGAAATTGAAAATATAGGACTTAGTAAGGGCCTGAATAGACGTCCTTTCGTTTAGCAAGGCGCAAACTAGGAAAATTAGTCAGGACCCGTCTAATTTCGTCACGCTTGAAATATCAGGTGATGATGTGGAAAGATAGAGAGGTTCTAACTAGATTGCCTTGTCACTGCCTGAATAGAAAAGCAGAATGTAGGGATTTAACTAGAGGGCCTTTTTAGCGCCTCATTAGTTTTTCTAAATACCAAAGCAAAAATTTACGACAGACGAAATATTGCGCCAGTAATACTGAACAAGTTACTGAACAAACACACATGTAAACAACACTGTTTCGACTAATCAACCTATGACTAACTTAACACTAACACTAACGCATACCTAACACTAACTCGCACGCTATGAATCTACTTTCTCATCGTCCTTATATACTAAACAGAACATTTCTTTACCGCTTGTGAGAAAAAGTCAAATATTTTGAAATTTAAAAATAGCAAATGTTTTTGCTCAAATAGTTTTGTAGCGGCAGCACAATTTTCAGTTAAAAAATGATTCTTTTCTTTATATTCATTTCAATTCTCTATTTTTACTATTTCTACATATAATATTGAATTTCATATTGCTATGTAAGTACTCGCTCAATTGATCGCTTTCTAATTTGTATTT